GCTGTTTTTCTCACCATTAAATGGTCTTTCCAAAGATACCATTATTTTTATCATATCATATAATTTACAATAACAAAAAATGTAAAATAACACACTTTTCTAACTTTGACCCCCAAAATCTGTCATGCATCTACATCCGCCAAAAACACCCATTCTAAACAGTTTCGAAATTGTGTCCTGAGTTTAGAAATGCCCAAATGTCAACATGTTCTTAGCTTTTCTTGGAAAGTTATAGGGCTATAAGTAAAAGTAGCACTTACTATTTCCAAACCATTTTTTTTCAAAAATAACGCAAGTTACATTGTAACACTGACATTTGTCAGGAATCCCTGAATAACCCTTCACATGTATATATTTTTTAAATGAAGACAACCTAAGGTATTAAACTTGGGGTATTTTGACTCTTTTCATTCAACCATTTTACCACCAATCTATGCCAAATTAAAAAAAAATAATAATAATTGGTGTGTTTTTTGACACAAGTAGCAATTTAAGAATACATGTATGGAGAACATTAAGGGTTACTGCCAAAGAACACCCCAATATGTGTTCAGCAACATCTCCTGAGTACAGTGATACAACCCATGTATAGGTGTGTCAGGTTCTCTAAGGCTAAAAGACCCTTTTTAGAGGGTGCACATTCCAGTTTTCCAACTTAGAATTTTCACAGCTGGTCATCATGCACCCATGTCCTATTTGGGACATTTTTTAAGCTGGCCAATGTAATTTACCCCCATCAAACCATATCTTTTTTGAAAAGTAGACACCCTAGGGTATTTCAAATGGCGTTATCTTAACAATTCCCATGCACTAATTCTATCACCAGTCTTTTTCAAACTTTTGTGTAGTAATTTTTTTGTTTTTACTCACATTGTAATTTAGGCATGGATTCTCAGTTCCTGTTATGTGTTACTGACAAAGAACACACCAATATGTGTTCAGCAACATCTCCCGAGTACAACAGTGTCCCCAATGTACAGGTTTTATGGGTTTTTGCAAACTTACAGGGGTCAAATGTAGGGCTTTCCCCTTTTCCATATTTGTACATTGAAATTTGCCAGATTGGTTTGCTTGGCCTATGTTGCCTTTGAGACCACATAGCAGCCCAGGAATGAAAATTAACCCCATCATAGCATACCATTTGTAAAAATAGACAACCTACAGTATTCAAAATGGGGTGTATCCAGTCTTTTGTAGTAGTCACTTAGCCATAAACGCTTGCCAAAGTTAGCATTCATATTTTATTGCTTTTCTTTTATATATATATATATACATATATATATATATATATATATAAATGAGCAAGGTTATTAGCCATAATGTAACAAAAAACATAATATAACATTACACCTAGGACAAAATCCAACAACAAAAAAAGAAAAAGCACCAAGGTAGAAAAGTCAGGTGAATTGGTGATTACCTTTTATTTAATTATTTTTTTAAACTTTTTTCACCAGCAGGGGACTGCCTGTCAATTCAGGCAGTCCCCCTGCTCGCAACACTGTTGATACCTATTGCGGCCATGCGACCACTTTTTAGAGCAGTCACATGGCCCTTCGGCGATCGGTAAGTACATGGGGAGGGAGAGGGAGGGTTTTTTAATTATTTAATTATTTTTTTTTTGTTATATTTACTGAGTGCCTCGATCCCTTGAGGCACTTAGTACAGGCAGAGCATCGGAAGCCTGCCTAATGGCTTCCGATGCTCTGCCTCACAGCCGGGCTCCACATGGAGAAACCTGGAAGTGAACACTCTGGGGGGAGCAATCACCCGGTGTTCTCCAAGCGCTGCAATACCATTAGAGCTGCTGGAAGCAATCATGATCACTTCCAGCACTCTAATTCCCCGCGGACGTATCAGGTACATCCGCGGTCCTTAAGGACCGTGTATTGTCAGATGTACCTGATACGTCCATGGTAACAAAGGGGTTAAGAGATCTTCAAGTAACACTTATATGTATGTAAGTCAATGATGTTTTAAATAAACCACTTCACATGTAACACATTTTCTACACCCTTTGTGCCTTTGTCAGGTCTCCTAAATGTCAAGCTTTCAGTGGGGCAATCCCTACTTTTTGGTCCTGTCCATCCAATTTTTTCCCTGATGTCCACATTCATTGCACCTGGGAACTGTCCACAGGCAGCTCATTCCAAGAACACCATTAGACATCTTCATCAGTGCTCTCTGCATGGTATCCTGTGTTGTGGGTTGGCTCACAAGCCTTTCATCAGCCAGACCCACCCCTTTTTGAGAGAACCTGCCTATTATGGACATCATCATCAATTCCCCACTGAGATCTTTTCTATCCATTTCAGTTTCTATACCTCCCAATTTTGAAAGGTATATTTTTTTTCACTTAAAAAATATGGAACTGTTTCAAGAAATTGTAAATGGTAAAAGGAGAACTCATATAAGCAAAGTCTAACAAATGCAATAAATGTCCAGAAATATGTCTCATTTAGGTATATATCAAGACAGATTTTGTAAATGCTCTTTTTAATAAGATACTTCATATATATTTAAATAACACTTTTACAATCTTTGTACACATTAAAGATATGAAACTATAGCAGCACAGTAGCAGATGGTTTTAATAGCATGCTAAATTCAAGTATTCTGTTTACAACTAATACATGAGCATTTGAGAACACATTGGTGAATTTTCTTTTTAACATACAGACAATTAAACTTTTGTGTAAAAAACAAATTGTTATTAATTGATTCTGAGTCAAACTTCAACTGAACTGCATTAGCATTTCAGATAAAAAAAACAAACAACCTACAAATAAATGTAATTTTTGTATATCAATCAATGGGTTTGTTCCTTATTTCTGGAGATAATTTACAAAGCATGGAAAGTGTTATTCTATCACAAGCCTCCATTGGGTATAAGGTTAAAATAATTAATATTAGAATTAAAATCAAAATAATCATTATTTTCTTAATCTGGACTTTATTTTATGTATAATCCTGTATGACATGTTGTTGCACACATCAATTCCTAAAATATCTAAACTACAAATAAACACAATAAAAATTGAAAATGAAATACTAATAATCATATTAGGGTCTGTTAAACCATTATCTAAACTGTGAATAAATTAACATTAATAACCAGGCTACCAATGTAATATAGATAGATTATGCCGATATTTGTGGTACTGTATATGTAGGTTTTTTTTCTTTTTACCACTTGAAAAAGGCCTAGGAGGAGAAACACGTTGTGGATTTTATCTTTGTTCTTAATAAAATATTTTTGGCTACCTTACTACCTGTCTTTAGCCATATTCTTCTTAGAATGTATACTTATTTTTATACTTTACCTGACATTTGAACTTTTTAAATTTTCTGTGGACAACTAACCAAAGAATCCGTGGTGGAGATTATACCACCCACTCTTGATACATAGAGCGGTTAGTCTGCTCATTTTATTGTAAGTATATTTTAATTTATCTTACTTATACTTACCTATCTAGAGAGCACTATTGGCTGCTTTTTTGTCATTTCAAATGATTTACCTCATCGCTATCCAGTTGTGATTTAACACCATTCCACTGTGTACCAAAATCAGAGGGATATCCTGCAAGTGGGGATTAAATAACACTGCATGCTGTTTTACCTAGAGCTGGCTATAGCTCTACCATATGTGAGTTGACATCTATTTAAGTGTTGTGTGTCCTACTACCTACAACCATATTGCACTGTTGGTTTGCTTCTGTTTTTTGCTTTCTTTCCAAATGCTACTCAATAAGTGCCATACAATAATTGGAAGATCTGTTGTTTCCTCTGAGACTTTACCTTACCATTTGGTATTTTTATATTTTTATATTTAGGTTTTATTGCGGACTTTTTTATATCTTGTGTGTATTTTACTTTTTTTATTACTATATGCTCTTGTATCTGGGGTCCTTTTTTTGGCGCTACCTGTGTTTTTGTTTGACTTGTCTTAGAGGCTAGAGGGATACCCCTACTATCAGGTGTGCTGCCTTTTATTCTAGTGTTTTTAGTTTGTCTAGTGCTGCTCTATCCCCTGTGTAGTTGTGAGTTGTACTTGGTGAAACTTCTTATATGTGCCCAATAACCTGGAGAAGGAGAACTATATGCCCCTTTACAAAAAAAAATAGTTATTGAGATAGCATGTGCATGTAATCAACAAACTACTCTTTATGGAGCAACCAATTTAAACATAAATAGTGCCATTCTCATGATGTGAGCACATGCATCATTTTTTAGGTATACATGTTTAAAAGGATTAACCCCACTAGATTAAGTAGATGAAGATTTGCATACAATATAGTACAAATATAAACAATTTAAAACAATTTCTAAAATATCCCTTTATAAAATTGTTGCATGGATTTACATTCTGAAAAATATTTATTTTATCGTTCTGTTATCTATTTACTCTTTTTTTCCCACTTCTTATCACCCTTTGCCTTTTTCAATGATCCCATTTCAAATATCCATTAGGTTTTGTTATACAACTGTGCAAATTGACTCCCTACCAGGTGCTTCTTTTACCAATATATTTCCACAGCATTGTAATGCTGAAGGAAAATCAAACCCAACACTTTTCTAATTATTATCCATATGATTTTTGTTATTTTTTATTCCAGTAATTTTGCTTGCTATGTTGCTTATAGGTGATTTAGATTTGCATATTCTATCAAGTAAAAAGAGTAAGTAAGGAAAGATTTAAGGAACACTGCAGGTACTATAACAACTTCAATAGGACAGTTTGTGCAAATATCTTGATTTTTTTAAATTTAGAATACATTTTTTAAATTCACGGACACTGACAACGGCTGAAATCCTTTTAAGAATTTTTGGCGGGTGAGGACTACCTGGTCCCCCAACTACATTTGGGGAGGCACCTTGATATGCTTATTTCATCTTGCTGCTTGTGAGAGCAATTCATCCTGAGGAGGGTTCATCTGTTCACTATTGTGTTGTGTATTTCTTATTTCCAGATTTTATGCTGTTTTCCCATTATGTTGTATATATGGATGTCAGGGGTAGGTAACCTTTGGCACTCCTGATGTTAGGGATCCAACATCACTCCAGATTTCCCATGATGACTTGTCATCATTATAAATGTAAGAGCATTATGGGAGATGTAGTCCACAACATCTGGAATGCCAATGGTTCCCTACCCCTGATCTATGTTAAGGACTATATATCCGTATATATCTATATTAAGGATATCTATAGTAAGTTCCTAGGAAGGCAGCTGCTTAAAGGACTACCATAGTGTCTGGAATACAAACGTGTATTCATGACCCTATGGTGTTAAACTTAGCTAACTATTTAGGTGGTCCAACTATTAGGTTAGTTGCTGAACGCCAGGAAGCACCTCTAGTGACTTCTGAGTGATTGACACTGGAGGTGTCCTAAGCAGCAATGTAAACATTGCCTTTTCTCTGAAAAAACTGTGTTTATATTAAAATGGCTGCAGGGACTGACTATAGACACCAGAATAACTACATTAAGCTGTAGTTGTATTGGTTACTATAGTGTCCCTTTAATTGTCGACCCTCATTATAAGTCAAGTATAACTCTGTATGTTTTAACTGGTGATGGTGTTTAGATATTTTTGTGGCAATACCTTAACAACTTCATTGGTTTAACCACATAGTCTTCAATCTGTCTTCAGTCTTCACCCATTATTACTGCCCCTGAACTTTTGTTGCAGCCCACGGCTTTAATCTGGAAGCCTCAGACTGGGAGCCACTGACTTTTTCAGCCTATAAGTAACTCCCCATTCACAATACAGTGTAACATTGTCATTCTCAGCCTATTAATGGTTTAACCCCTTGAGGTAAGCGAGCACCTGGGGACCTCCTCTTGCCATAACTTAATTCTGATGAAGTTGTTATATTGTCTGGACTGTCCCTTTAAGAACAACTCTCTAGCTAACTGAACACTGAATACATTGATCAAATTCAATCTTATTTAACACTGCAGTGGAGATTGATATACTTTACTTGTAGAATGTGTTCATTGACTACGGTGGGCAGATCAATAATTGTCAATAGGGGGTACAGGAAGCCAGGTCGTACATGTCAATTCCAATTAAATGTTACTGTATACTGATTTATTGTATAAATTGGAATAGAGTCTATACGTCATGTTTGGTTTATTCCCAATTTAACTCTTTATGTTTTTACCTGTTCCGATCTATATCACTTTTATATGGGGTATGACATTTCTTCGTCAGCAGCTAATGGTTCCTTTTCAGCTGACTAGTAATTATTTATTCCTCTCAAGATGTTACTTTGCATATCAATCTGATTTTAAATATAAATTCTGTAAAATAGCTACAGAAACAGTGAATGTACAGTTACAGTTATATCAGTACTATTTATGTGAAGAGAAAGTATTAATACAACATCCCCCAAAAACTTTTTAGAAAGTGGTTTTCATCACAGATATTGAAACATGGTCTACAATTATGACCTTTGTACTGCAATGACTAATATGTGTGCTAAGTAAAATCTCATCAAATAGTTAATTCAATTTTTAAATGTCACTGGTATATTGAAGTACTTCAAATGATTACATTCTAGCTTTAAATGACTATTTATTAGATTTTGATATGCTGTTTTCTGTTTAATGTGTTCTTTAACCCCTTAAAGACACATGCCATGTGTGACATGTCATGATTCCCTTTTATTCCAGAAGTTTGGTCCTTAAGGGGTTAAATAGTTATTTCTACTCTCCTTTTCATATTTGCATGTGTATTTTAAGAGACCACTGCAAAATGATCAGTTTCTCTAGTTTTAATATTTATAGGTTTGTATTTGAGTAAAACAAAAAAACATTATTTTATTTTATAAACAACTGACATATTTTATATTAAAAACATTAACATAATTTATAAAAAAAAAAAAAAAAATACTTATGTATGTGATTGAGATTAAATTGATATACCTCTCACAATGCATTTCAGTATTGAAAAGGTACTTCAGCCGATCACATAGAGTTCTAGCAGAGTAATGACACACACAATGAGTGAGTTTATAAAAACGTGACATATATAGACAAATACACACAATGTTACACTTGAATAGACACTTGACTTAGGTTTGCAGTTCACTTGCAACATGCAAAAGACGTTTGTGCCTCCATTAGCTTTTCATAAGTTGTTCCTTTTATTCATCGAAAAAGGAGCCATATGTTCACTCCTTCCTCCAAAATGGAGGCTCTCTCTCCTCTCTGTCCCAGCGTGGAGTGTCTAATTCTCCCTTGTGTTCTCCTTTAAGCAACTTACAGCTTATGGTAAACATGCACTTTGTCCCAATTTGGGGGAAGGTCATCTTCTTCTATAGCGGATTACTCTTACATGCATTAAATTTTTTAATTACTCTTGCTACAAGCATTGACATGGTGAGCATTTATTGGCAGAAAATGACAACTAGTCAGACTAAAAAATAAAAAAATTGTGTTTTCAGACCTTGAATAATACAAAGAAAACAAGTTCATATTATTTTTTGAACACCATAATGCTAAAGTTATACAGTCAGGTCCATAAATATTGGGACATCGACACAATTCTAATCTTTTTGGCTCTATACACCACCACAATGGATTTGAAATGAAATGAAGATGTGCTTTAACTGCAGACTTTCAGCTTTAATTTGAGGGTATTTACATCCAAATCAGGTAAACGATGTAGGAATTACAACAGTTTGTATATGTGCCTCCCACTTTTCAAGGGACCAAAAGTAATGGGACAATTGGCTGCTCAGCTGTTCCATGGCTAGATGTGTGTTATTCCCTCATTATCCCATTTACAAGGAGCAGATAAAAGGTCCAGAGTTCATTTCAAGTGTGCTATTTGCATTTGGAATCTGTTGCTGTCAACTCTCATGAGATCCAAAGAGCTGTCACCATCATAAGGCTGAAAAAACAAAACAAACTCATCAGAGAGATAGCAAAAACATTAGGTGTGGCCAAATCAACTGTTTGGAACATCCTTAAAAAGAAAGAACGCACCGGTGAGCTCAGCAACACCAAAAGACGCGGAAGACCACGGAAAACAACTGTGGTGGATGACCTAAGAATTCTTTCCCTGGTGAAGAAAACACCCTTCACAACAGTTGTCCAGATCAAGAACACTCTACAGGAGGTAGGTGTATGTGTGTCAAAGTCAACAATCAAGAGAAGACTTCACCAGAGTGAATACAGAGGGTTTACCACAAGCTGTAGACCATTGGTGAGCCTCAAAAACAGGAAGGCCAGATTAGAGTTTGCCAAACAACATCTAAAACAGCCTTCACAGTTCTGGAACAACATCCTATGGACAGATGAGACCAAGATCAACTTGTACCAGAGTAATGGGAAGAGAAGAGTATGGAGAAGGAAAGGAACTGCTCATGATCCAAAGCATACCACCTCATCAGTGAAGCTTGGTGGTGGTAGTGTCATGGTGTGGGCATGTATGGCTGCCAATGGAACTGGTTCTCTTGTATGTATTGATGATGTGACTGCTGACAAAAGCAGCAGGATGAATTCTGAAGTGTTTCGGGCAATATTATCTGCTCATATGCAGCCAAATGCTTCAGAACTCATTGGACGGCGCTTCACAGTGCAGATGGACTATGACCCGAATCATACTGCAAAAGCAACCAAATTGTTTTTTAAGGGAAAGAAGTGGAATGTTATGCAATGGCCAAGTCAATTCATTTCAAACCCATTGTGTTGGTGTATAGAGCCAAAAAGATTTGAATTGTGTCGATGTCCCAATATTTATGGACCTGACTGTAACTTAGGAAGAGTACAAAAATCTATATTTGGTGGAATAAACTCTGCATACTTAGCCTTGGCATGCGTTCAACAAGTCTTTCACATTTGCTGGCATTATGACTGCAAAAGCATTATTGGGGATGTAGTCCACAACATTTGGAGTGCCAAAGGTTGCCTTTCACTGTTCTAAGATCACATTGTATGTGGCTTGATTCATGCATCCTTCACAATGATGAATCTGACCCTTCAGGATTGCTGAAGCACCCTCAGATCATCACCAATCTTCCAACAAATTTCACAGTGAGTGCAAAACACTGTGGCTTGTAGGCCACTACAGGTCTCTGTCTTACCATTAGGCAACCAGGTGTTAGGCAAAGCTGAAAATTATATTCTCAAGAAAACAAAACGTTACTTCAGTCCACTACGGTCCAAACCTTATGGTCTTTTGCTACCATCAGTCTTGCTCGTCTTTGCTTCTCATTGATTAAGGATTTATTTCTAGTTTTGCATGATTTCAGCCCTGCCTATAGAATCCTGGTATGAAGCATTCTCACTGTGCACATCACCCAAGCTGTCATTTTCTATTCTTTTTGAAGTTCATTAGATGTCATTTTATGGTTGTTGAGTAACATTCAAATAAATTGGTGGTCATCCCAGACAGTGGAGAGTAGTTTTCAGTCTCTGCCATGGTGTATGTTTGTTGTCCCAAATGTATGCTGTTTGACCTTGTTCTTATGAATCTCCATCTTTGCTGGTCCTACTGCAAGAGGACAGTGCAGACTACTGTAGTGGTTTTTATACATTTGCTCATTTAATAAGATTTGGTCCAAGTGATTACTTAATCAGTACCTCATTAAGTAGAACAAGGTTTTTCCTGTTTTGGAATTCAACAGGCACTGGGATAGAATGGCTGCCATATACTTTTGGTCCCTTGAAAAAGAGGGGCTACATATTAAAGATCTGTAATTCCAAAATCCTTCATCCAATGTGGATGTGACTAAACTCAAAGTAAAGCTGAGATACTGCACTTTAAACCCATATTTATTATTTGATTGTAACTTGAATTTATTTTGGTAAACAGACAAATAACAAAACTTGTGTCTATGTCCAAATATTTATGGACCTAACTGCAATTCTTTATTTAAAGGGCTGTATACAGCGCTTTATTTGAGTGCTGCATACAGAGCCAGTTTGGGACCACTATGAATGGCCCCACCTGACACAGAGGAGTCCTAGGTATTGTTTGATAACTGGGGTGTGTCAATAACAGTGTTAATTAAGATGTACTGACATGTCGTAATGTCATTAAGTGGTTAAAATAGGTTGTAATTTGTAATAAAAAATTTAGATTATTTTTATTTTGGCAGTGTGCGCGATTTGTTCACACGATTAAATAATGTATATCACTAATAGAATAATTA